CCGCCGTATCCACTGTCGGGGATCTTAATCGAGCACCGGTACTCTTTTTCCCGCTCTTACATTTTCGAATTCCGAACTCAATTTTGCTTCTGTTAGCTTGCGTAGAAACATACCCTCCTCTTTTCTCCGAAGATAATCATCCGTTTGGTCGAAAATTTTGGATTTTGTTGTAGTTACTAAACCGATCTTTAGAAAATTTCAAGGACTGTAGAAATATTATCCTTGTGTACTTACTAGTATAACTCAGTAAATGATAGCAAATGACGATGATGATCACTTCCTGTTCTTGCATTCGAGAATTGTGGGTTGGATCCTTGAATATTACTGAACTGAATTTCATATAGTGTTTCTCAGGATTTAAAACGTTCTGCAATCTTTGCTACGCTGTGTGAAGATGTAGTAAAATATCAGGAAGATACCGTGTGATTATATGAATTCTAAGGAACAATTTGTCTCTTCTTGCTATTGCAGCTGAACCCGAACGGCTCTGTTTCTGGTTCACGCTTTGTTGGCGCTCCGTTCTTCGGGACAACCTTGAAAAATGTTTATTCGAGGAGGATCAGCCACCCGAGAATCTCTGCCAGGAGCTTCAAGATTGTTGCTGACGGCACGTTGGATGAGGAGAAGCAGACGTCTAAGGACAGATGGCAGGGCCTTGTGTTCGACACATCTGATGACCAGCAGGACATTACTCGAGGCTACGGTAAGGTGGATACCCTCTTCCAGGCGCCCTTGGGGACAGGAACTCACTATGCTGTCATGAGCTCGTACGATTACTTCAGCCAAGGGCTTCGCCAGTAAGTGCCCCTTCATCCATGAGTATCTTGATTAGTGTCTAGGGAAACAACGAGTTCAAGAATCGCGTTCTTGATGGAAGTTTAATCCGTGGGGGCTGGCTGGCCATGCAGGTTTGCGATGGACAATATGATGGACGGGTATTACATCGCCCCTGCTTTCATGGACAAGGTGGTGGTTCACATCACCAAGAACTTCTTGAAACTCCCAAACATTAAGGTTTTTGTCACCATACACTCTCGTGTTGCTTATCAAGCAAAATATAGGAGAAGAAAAAAAAGATCAGTGATGTATGAAACATTTTCGGATGGCAGGTTCCTCTCATATTGGGTATTTGGGGAGGCAAAGGACAGGGAAAATCCTTCCAGTGTGAGCTTGTCTTCGCCAAGATGGGCATCAAGTGAGTATATCGATACTTGTATATCTCTGATACAATGGCTGATCACCTGATATTATCCTATTTTCGGTTATTGTTCAGCCCAATTATGATGAGTGCTGGAGAGCTAGAAAGCGGAAACGCAGGAGAACCCGCGAAGCTGATAAGGCAAAGGTATCGTGAGGCAGCCGACATCATCAAAAAGGGGAAAATGTGTTGTCTTTTCATCAATGATCTGGATGCTGGAGCTGGTAGGCTTGGCGGTACAACTCAGTACACAGTGAACAACCAGATGGTTAACGCCACTCTCATGAACATAGCCGATAACCCGACGAATGTCCAGCTTCCCGGGATGTACAACAAGGAGGAGAATCCCCGTGTTCCGATCATCGTGACTGGTAATGACTTCTCCACTTTATACGCTCCTCTCATTCGTGATGGCCGTATGGAGAAATTCTACTGGGCGCCCACAAGGGAAGACAGAATCGGGGTTTGCTCTGGAATTTTTCGGACTGACAACATTCCTCAAGGTGACATTGTCAAACTCGTCGACACTTTCCCTGGCCAATCCATTGGTAAAAGCTTCATAACCCTCTCTCACTATTAAACAATATGCACATGTATATGTCTACATGTAATACACATACATAAGCTCTTATCTTTCTCGGTGTTGCAGACTTTTTCGGGGCATTGAGGGCGAGAGTGTACGATGATGAAGTGAGGAAATGGGTCACAGAGATCGGAGTAGAGAACATCGGGAGGAGGCTGGTGAACTCGAGGGAGGGACCCCCGATCTTTGAGCAGCCGAAGATGACAATGGAGAAGCTCCTCGAGTATGGGAACATGCTCGTGAAAGAGCAAGAAAACGTCAAGAGAGTTCAGTTGGCCGACAAATACTTGAAAGAGGCTGCTCTTGGAGATGCCAACGAGGACGCCATCAGCAATGGAACCTTCTATGGTTAGATCCTCAGAAACCTTTGATATCTGTTACTGTTACTATGTTGTATGATCATCGTGTGCTTGGACTGAATCAGTGAACCTGTTTTGGTTTGGGGGCTAAGTCAAGTTCGGTTATTTCCGGTACAGGGAAAGCGGCTCAGCAGGTGAAGGTCCCGGTTCCAGAAGGCTGCACCGATCCGAACGCGGCTAACTATGATCCGACGGCCAGGAGTGACGATGCAAGCTGCGTCTACAGTTAGGATCATTCTCAATGAATTACTATTCATGGAAATAACAGAGGATGATCTAGACTTTGTTCCATCATATTATTAGTACATGAAAAATTGTATATTAGTGTCATTAAATGTATGATTTGGTTCGGTATGTGGTACAATAAATAATACGATTCTTATAGTATAATGTTTTTGAATTTGTTAATTTAGTGAACAGCCGGAATAAAGCAATAACTGTCATCATTAGCAAGTGGTGTGCTGTGACGTCAGTGTTTCTCGAACATGGCGACGCGCTTTCCTTTTCTTGTCCGAAAGCAACAGTCGACGACATTTCACGGCGTTGAATCACGCGCTGCAGACAGCGCGTTTCCTTAACCGAACCGGTTAGCCAATATTCACAGCACGACCAAACCAGTTCCATACAATGGAAAACCAAACCAAAATGATGACAAATTTACATATTATATGGGTGTTTGTGGGAAAGAATTTGTGAAAAGGAATAATAACATGATAATTTGTGAAAATTACATGGACATATTTTGTTTACTGATAAACCGGTATAACAATCAATAACCAAATGTACCAGTTTGGTTCGGTTTAATGTTTCCGTCCTCGGGTTTAAAGATTTAAATAAATATAATTAAATATGTAAAAAAACATATATGATTTTTGTAAATAGGAATAATTTGTGCGTTATTGACTGACTTCAAATCGAAGAACCGCCAACGAGGACCAGCACACGATCTCTTATCGTCCTCCTCGTCTTCATCGCTGGTCTTCCATTATTGCAGAATCTCTTTTGCTTTTTCCCCTCTCTTTAAGGAATCCGATTGAATCTCATCAATAACATCTCTCTCGATTCATTACCCAAAAAAAAACATCTCTCTCGATTTGTCCGCGTTTGTTCTTCTTTGGATCTGGTGCTGTGGTAAGAGCGCTTATCCACGGCGGAGATGGCTCCTGACGATCCTAAAACCGGCACCGGAACCGGCACCGGGGGCGGTTTCTTCGCTTCTATTGCTTCGACGATCTCCAATTTTGGATCGGCGATGAGTAAATCAGTTAACGGGTGAGTAATTGAGATCCCCTTTATGAATTCCGTTGCGCTCAAAATCGGATCTACCAGTATTTAGCTGGTTTCTTACGTTAATGTTCGAATTCGGCCTCGTTTTAGTTGTTGAATTTGAAAACTTTGGTTTGATTTTGGTATTTCTATGTTAATTATCGAGTCTTAGATCATTTCAGCATATCGGGCTTCAGTGGATCTTCCAGTGTTGATTTGCCGCCCACACCGTTATAGTTGCTGTTTCTAATTCTGCCTGTGCATCGAAAGGTTTCCACTTTAGATCACACCTTTAGTTGAGTCATTGAGTTTATCGTGTCTTAACCCCATAGTTTATTTTTCTAAACCGTTCTGTTTGCTGAATTTTAGCACTAACCCCATAGTTTATTTTTCTAAACCGTTCTGTTTGCTGAATTTTAGCACTTGCTTGATGAGCATAACGATCTTGTGTTTTTATCGGTAATTCATTTTGTTTTGATGATTCATGTTTGCTTTGTTTCTCAGTTTGGTGGGCTATGAAGGGCTCGAAGTTATCAATCCAGAGGGAGGGACGGAAGATGCAGAGGATGAAGCAAGGAGAGGAAGATGGAAGCAAGAGGTATACTGCTTCTGCTAGTAAAGAACTTTCTGGTGATTTTTATTACTAAAAACAAGAAAATTAGTTGATCTAATCCTCTTGAGAACAAACTTTTCGCCCTCTTCCAGGATCGTGACGGCCATTGGAAGATGATGCAGAAGTATATAGGATCTGACGTTACATCTATGGTGACCCTCCCTGTGATCATCTTTGAACCGATGACAATGCTGCAGAAAATGGCGGAGGTTCGAGCTCTGAGATTAGATTATGTTAAAGCTACTTTGTTTCATTATGATGATCTTACACTCTGATGTCGATTCAAATCTTTACACACATCATGTTTCCGACAGTTGATGGAGTACTCACACCTGCTCGACATGGCAGACAAAACAGAAGATCCTTACATGCGATTGGTCTATGCTTGTAAGGATATCTCTAATCTTTTGTCTGTCTTCCTCTTCAAAACTGTGCATGTAGCTTTTGCCTTCGAATGGCTAATGATATTTGATATTTACAGCATCATGGGCGATATCTGTTTACCATGCCTTCCAACGTACATGGAAGCCGTTCAATCCAATCCTTGGCGAAACTTATGAAATGACCAATCATGGTGGTATCACCTTCATATCTGAGCAGGTGAGACTTAGCTTTAGACCCCGTGTTCCTCCCCAGTTCTGAAAAATTGTCTGAAGGTTATTAGATCTAGGATCCTGATAGTAATCTTTTGTTCATCAGGTCAGTCATCACCCTCCAATGAGTGCCGCCCATGCAGAAAACGAGCATTTCACATACGATATAACTTCAAAGCTGAAAACGAAATTTCTGGGCAATTCATTCGACGTCTATCCAGTGGGAAGGTACCCTCTTGAATACTACAAATGTATTGACTTTAGATTCTACAATGGCACAATCCTGTGAAAACAAAAGCCTTCCTTCTTGACGTCTACTAAGTACTAACCTTGTATCAATAAACTTACATACAGAACGCGAGTGACACTTAAAAGAGATGGTGTGGTCCTCGACTTGGTGCCTCCTCCCACAAAAGTCCACAACCTAATCTTCGGAAGAACTTGGGTTGATACATCAGGGGAGATGATCATGACGAACTTGACAACCGGCGATAAAGCCGTGCTGAGTTTTCAACCGTGTGGTTGGTTCGGGTATGTCCTTCCTCGCAGGACAGATTTTTTCATATCAATATAAACAAATCCAAAACCCATATAGCATGTAGCTCCCATTCACCACTGCAACCAGGCTATCGGCAACCTGAAAGGAAAATCATAATCTTTATGCTTTTACAGAGCTGGTCGTTATGAGGTGGATGGATACGTGTATAATGCAGCTGAGGAGCCAAAGATACTAATGACTGGGAAATGGAACCAGTCCATGAGTTATCAGCCATGTGACATGGAAGGTGAACCTCTCCCAGGCACTGAACTCCAGGAGGTCTGTCTCTGTCACGTTATTCCACATTTATTCAGCCGAAGCCATTCTCAGTTGGCAACCTTAATAAATGCTGTTTTCTTGCACGCATCTTGTTATCCACAGGTCTGGAGGCTCGCTGATGCTCCAAAGAACGACAAATTCCAATACACATACTTCGCTCATAAGATCAATAGCTTTGACACAGCCACAAAAAAGTTGTTGCCATCTGATTCACGTCTACGTCCTGATAGATATGCGCTTGAGATGGGGGATATGTCCAAGTCTGGCTACGAAAAGAGCAGGTACCATCAACCTTTTCATCCCTGGTTTACTGTTTCTCTGTTTCTATTCTGCATGAAGCGCACACTTCATTACTTCAACAAAAAACAGTTGAACGAACGTAATCATAATCTTCAGATTTCTGCAGAAGCGCTAATACCTTGGCTTCTTTTCTTTGCTGTTCTGTCAGCTTGGAGGAGAGACAAAGATCCGAGAAGAGAACCCGTGAAGAAAAAGGCCATAAATTCACTCCCAAATGGTTCGACATAACAGAAGAAATCACTCCCACGCCCTGGGGCGACCTTGAAGTTTATCAATACAACGGCAAGTATGCAGAGCACCGGGCACAAGCAGATAGCAATGAAGATGACACCGATGTGAAATCAACCGAGTTCAGCCCTTGGCAATACTAAGATCTTGCTGCTTAATGAGGGGGAGACAAAAGAACATCACATCTTTCCAACCATATATGTTGTATGCTCTTTCCTTGTAGTAGATCATTCCATCTTCTTCTTTTTCCCCTTTTGGTTTGGTCAGGCTGGCTAGGGTTTCCGTTCCTTTTGGTTCAATATTATTACAGGATAGTTTTGCATTTATATTGGATATTCAAATCTATATTTATTCATTAGTCGCTATTTCATCGTAATTTGCTGATTGTTTTCATTATCGGCTCCATCTTCTTCTTCTTCTTCGCCCAGCCTGGTCTCACCAAACCATCTGGGAGGATCGAATCCAGACCCACCTGTAAAAGTAAGGCTTTTTACTTTCAGTATTCCATACAAATATATACATGGAAAATACCAACAAAAAAAAAGGTGCCTTTTGGAAGAAGGGAGGAGGGGACTACCAAGAGGATTGCAGCGGCAAAGACGCCACGCCGTCAAAGCAGTGCCTTTGACAACTCCGTATTTCTTGTAAGCTTCCATGGAGTATTCGCTGCACGTCGGCACGTACCTGCAACTTCTCGGTATCACCGGCGATATCTCCCCTGTTTCCCCACCCGAATCAAACTTCCGCCATTAACGACACCACAACACGGAAAACCCTAGTTTCTGAAACAGAGAGAGAACGGAGGCTTACTCTTGTAGAATCTCAGCATCGCTAAAGCAGCTTTAACTCCTAAATTCTCCACCTCTCCATCTGATCCAACACATAATGCAACGTGGAATCAGAAAGAAAAAAAAAACCTAATTTGGCAGTAGAGCGAGCCAGATAGAGGGAGAAAGAGACACCTTGCGGGGAATCTGGGTCGGAATTTGAAGGTGACCCGTTTGAGGATGAGCAACGGAGCTGCGCGATTTTCCGATGATCAGAATGAAACTTGAGGTAGGTTTTACTCGATTTTTGAGGAAAATTGATGGACTTTAATCCGTTAGGGTTCACAGAGACCAGGAGGTGTGCATCATTCGGACAGTGGGAGGAGGAGAAGACGACCACCATATTCAGCTCTCATCACTAAGCCCCACGTGAAAACCACAACAGCTTATTTATGTTATGAATGGGTGAGACCAAAACGATGCCGTTATAGTTTAATTATAAACGATGGGCTACATTCCTAACCCCTTAAACATCAAAGCCCATCGGGCCTACACAAGGTCCATAAGTAAAGCTCCTAGATTGTGCACATTGATGAATTGAACACGTGGCAAGATTCTATTGGGATGCACATGAGCGTAGAGTACACCCAATCAATCGCAGACAATCACATCCACAATCTAAGCTTCTATGGTTCGTGGTTGGTCGGAGTTCAGATATAAGCCCCTCCCCATGAAACTTCTCCATCCTTCCTCTTCGCAGCTAACAAGGAAAGAAAAATGGCTACCTCGCTCATGAGCTCGTCGCCATTGTCGTCCACTTTCTTACCTTCAACTCGCAGTTTGTCGGTTCAAGGACTTGGTCCAAACAGGAACCTCGGGCTCTGTCGGAAGCCACCGTCTTTCCGAGTTCGAGCGGCGAAGCTCCCCGACCGGGTAATGTCTGAACGATCTTTCAAACAATCAATCGAGACTTTTCTTGGGAATTCTTGTCCGAATTTGTTGTTGCTAAGGTAAATTTTGCAGGTGATAGTGCCGAAAGCAGAGCCTAAGTTCGAAGCCGCGTTTCTTGGATTCACAAACACCGCAGAGATATGGAATTCAAGAGCTTGCATGATCGGACTCATTGGGACCTTCATCGTCGAGCTGGTGAGTTTAGGGATAATATAACACTCGTATGAACTTCTGTACGAACACGAGGAAACTAACTGATCCGACATGTTTTCCGGTTTCTGTTTGCTTTTTTCCAGATTCTGAACAAGGGAATTCTTCAAGTGATCGGTGTTGATGTCGGAAAAGGACTTGATCTTCCTCTTTGAATGGTTCTCATCTGATCAAAATTTGTAAACACCTCTGTTCTTTCCTTATTTCTCATCATTCCAAGAACTAAGAATCTCACAACAACACCCATCAGAGTGTATTGATTACAGACATCAAAACATTAATGTGGTAAGAAAGTCTGAATCTTGCCCTGGTCTGGTATTAGCGTATAGTAGTACTACTAAAGCTTCTGAAGAATTACGTCTCTCTCTAGAACATGGATTGAGTGAAGAATGTGCATTCAGAACTATATGATCCGAGCGGTCCGAGCATCTAAGATGGGAACTCTACCGGATGGCTCGGAGAGATTCAGTGCCTCTGAAAGAGATAGACGTCGGTTTCTCCAAGCAGAGTAAGCCCATGCTTTCATTTTCTCTCCTTCGCTCTTCCTGTTCTCTTGAATGCATAGTAGTTCGGCATATCCGCCTACACAATCAACCGAGCTCGTTATCCAACACTAAGTATTCTTGTGTCACTATGAATATTACAAAAAAATGGGGAAGCAATAATTTCTCGGATCGTTCTTATACCTCTTGCAAGGGCCGCTGCATCATTAGTTCCCATATTTGTCTCTGTAGAGTAATATCCTTCCGAATCCAGTGGGGGTGCTTTCATCAGCTCCAGTGACCTTCTATAAAGTCCCTGTTTTATAGTTCATCCATCTATAAGTCAGAAAAAAATTCTATAAGATGAACGCTATCAGAAGGGGTCTAAGGAATTTGCTCAGGCCTCTTGAATCAGGAATGAGCTGGATCGTTCTTGCTTAGCTTTTTTCCGGTACATGAGAGCAATTCCAGTCAAGATCACTCCAACCTTCTGATGGCGGTGGCCTGATTAGTGAAGGATGGCGGAATTTAGCAATTGGACAAAAGCATGTTTGTGTTACACATTGTATTTTATAAAGGCAGAAACTGCAGAATTGAGAATTAACCGACCAAGACGTCGAGGAAAAACCTACCGAAGTATTCCTCAGCTTTGGTCACTGCACTAGTCAGTGTCTCTTCCGCATCAGCAAAGTTCCTGATAGAAGCAAACACACAGTTTGAATAATGGGTAGGCTCGAGAATTCTATTTCAAGACCAAGCAGACAGACCAAGATATATATTTGGTTATACTGATGTCACATATGCAGAATACACTCATATGACAAGTTAGACACAGGAGACCAAAACTCTTACCCGACATGTGACTGTAGCTGCCCTAAGGCAAATGTTGCAGCCAATGATGTTTCCTGTGAATTCATATTACAGGAACCCGAAGAATATTTGTTTTCCGTTGTTCCTTTAATCGCCTTTTGATACATTTCCTTTGCCATTTCATAGTTTCCGGTCGCGTGAAAGAATTCACCATAAGAGAGTGCAACATTACCTATGTATCAGTATATTTCGAGTCCCAATATCAGATATACCATGAAAAATGCATCGACTGAAGCGCAACTAAAAAGAAAGAAGTGTACCTTGGCAGCTTTCATGGTTTTCAAGTCCTCGGAATAAAGATGCAGCTGAACAAAAATGTTATGGTAAGCTATGAATAAGCCGAAAGACAATCAGAAACAGAAGCAAATGAAAAGAAAGGTGATGCAAATATCTATACCGGATTCAATACTTCCTTTCACAAGCTCAGAGAGCCCTTTGATCGCTTTGGCTCTAGCAATCAAAGCCTGAAAATTTTCCGGGCCAATCTTAGGTTCCTCATTCTTTAACAGCTCTAAAAATTCTTCTGCAATAGCCGAGGAAGCTTCGTCCTAGATAGCAAAGAAGGGCATTCCATTCACCGATAATTGAGTACTGTAAAAGTTCCTTAACACATTCAAACATTGGTCATTCTAAACCAACCTGTCCTGACTGTATGTGCAGCCCAACAAGGGCTTCCACAGCAACAACTGCAAACAAAGATGACGTCAGATTCAAAACAAGATCTCTCACAACTTCAAATTCAAACGCGAAGAAAATTCTGGCTCTGGGAGCAGTATGTGTGGAAATTATCACCTCTAGTAGAGAAAGATGACTCTTTTAGACAAGTTATTTGCTTGAGACGTTCGATGGCTTCATCCGAGTTTCCTCTATTTCCAGAAAATCAAACAGATGGAGATTTAGCATACACTAAACAAGCAGAGATATTTGTTGGAAATTCTGAATCATCATGGGAAGAAGACCAAACCTTTCGCATAATAAATCAGACATAGCAAGCAAGACCATTCCTTTCGAATCCTGAGCCAACTGATCATCATTCGATTGGTTTGAAAGGCACTGCTCAAGAACCAGCATACCTTGAGCATAAGACTCATCTGCCAGCAAAATTTACAGTAAACCCATTTCGGAAAGAAATAAAAAGTTCAAAATTCGATTAGATACAAGTGACTTAATTGTCAAGAAAAACTGATGATTTAACCCCTTAAAACCTGATTTCTGCGACCTCGCGTGGGAAAGAGCGTAATTGATCATCTGGGTAGCAACTGGATTCGCATTAAGAGCGTTACTATCTCCATGAATCAACCTCAACGAACGAAGATTTCTTCCGACAAAGGTGGTGGGTCCCAATCTGACGGCGGTGCGAGCCCGAGCCGCCGCTGCCGCCGCCTTCGACCACTTCACAGCGGCGTGAATCATCGTCAACTGATTTACTCTTCCTTCTCCATGCGAGAAGTTCAGAAAATTCTCGAGCTTTAGGGTTTAACCAAAACCCTAACCGTGTGACAACTGGCAACTGGCAAATGTAAATAATGTAAATGTGGATTACATCTCGAAAAAATGGTGTTAATCTTCCATGTATTCTAAATTAAATTTTTAGATTTATTTTATTTTGACGGAAAACCAAATTGATTTATTTTAATTTTCAGAGAGTGGTAATTCCGTCAGTAATAATTGTCCACAAGAGCCACGGAGGAAAAAAATGGAACGTTAAGGACGAAAACGTTATCCACGCGCCTAAAACTGGGAATCAGCCTAAATGTGTAGCTTTTCGTGGACTATACCCACCTAAAACAGGGACGTGATACTGACGCGCTACCCCTGCGCGTGGAGTTATAGAATGTTACTCGCTATCAATTGGGCCTTTTGAACCGATAGCTCGTTAACTTGGTGGGCCTAATAGGTTATTGGGCCTTGCTCGCTTGCTATTTTTTTGGGGATCATTATTGAGAAATTATAAGATTATTATTTGATTTTGATATTTATAGTTAGATAGAAGAGGTCATTAAAAATTTAGAACCCACCGCCGCGATAGGGAAGTTCTCGTAATAAAATTTAATTAATCGATATTATTAAAATCTATTACCTGTAATTTCTTTGTTACATAAATCTTTCCAGTATGCATATATTGCATATTGCATTATATTTTTTATATTGTAAGATTTATTTTTTTAATTGTACTATTGTAAATAATCTTTAAAATCATTTGAATTATATATTTATTGGTATTTTTTTAGTTTATTATAAAATCATACGCTTTTCATTTATATAGAAATTTTTATTAGAATTTTGAAAATGAGTTTTTTTTATAGATTAACTATATTTGTTTGTATTTTTCATGTTTTTAGAGCCATTTGGGTATTTATTATTGCTACATGCGATTTGTCCTCTACAAAAGTTTTTTTTTTTTTTGCAAGTCAGAAAGCTTCATAGTCGTAACCTTCGTCTTCTTCACAGTAACCATAAAAGCAGTCTTCTTCCCCATTCTCGAAATCGTATTCTTTGTACTCTTCCTTTTCCTCCTCCAGCTTGTTTCCTTCTCTCCTCCCGCCATCTCTCTCTTGTTTTCTCCCTTTCACACTTTCTTCATCATCCCTCTCTCCCTCATCTTCTGTTTTCCCCTTCTTGGGCGATTTCTGAGCCGGCGGCTGCTGTCACAATTACAAGTAAGTAACACACAAACAAAAAACCATATTTGAAAAAAAAAGGGCGGACAAGACAAGAAGATTGGAATTGTCCAGTCCCACTGTGCTTCACTGTTTTATGGAACCCAGGATCATTGAACTAAAAGGACACGAAACAAAAGCATACCGTCTCATCGAAGAGTTTCCCCAAAGCATCGTAGTCGATCAGCGAGCTTAGTCTCTGCATATCATTTTGCATTAGAGACAGATGAGAGAAGATGACGAAGAAATAGAACCCGTTGTTAGGCGTGTGAGGAGAAAAAGGTAAGGAAGAACAATATAAGTTTATTGAAAGCCAGCAAGAACAATTAACAGGATACGGATTACAATGTCATCTAGATCTTTACCAACACGTTCACCGCAAAAATTGCAAAGACCGGTAAATAATGGCATCGGTAAATAACCACCAGAACATTCAACACACACACAAAAAATATCCTACCCGAGGTTTATAATCGAGAAGAACTAAGCACATTAGTTTCGGGATTCATTAACTAATATTTTGCAAAAAAACAACAACAACAAAGCTAAGCATTCTAAAATGGATTCATGCTCTCCCAACTATACTAATAACCATTAATCCAGAAAAGAGGGAGGTATACGTACCTTTTTCTCGAGCATTCCACGCACAGCTTCAACAGCAGTTGCCGGGGGTGCAGCATTTTTTGCTTCTGCGGCCCTTTTTTGTTGTTTTTCCTATAACAAACAATGAAATCAAAGAAAATAGAATATTAGAATTAGACATCTTCAGAACGAGAGTGATTTTCATCGAAAAGAAAATGTGAAACTGCATCTTCAAAGCTACAACACAGAATTCTAGAGTGAAGCAGCAGGACACTGTTAAGGAATGGAATTCTGTCCTCGCTCATCATAAACAATACTTGGAGTTTCAATTACAATCATCACAATGGGCAATGGTCTTAGATCATGGATCAAAACCAAGTTAATGCCGTGTACAAAGTAAAATCCCAACCCGACAACTAAAGCTTCTTCAAGACCTTGTTTTCCTTGGTTATTTCAGCTTTCCATGGCCACAAATGGGTTTCTCCCATTGTGAAGGGAAAATGACAAAAACAAAAGGAAGATACCAATTCAGTGCTGTATCAAGGAATCAGTAGTCATAGTTTACATCGACAATACATGATATCTCCACAGGAAATAGGTTTTTCAACCAAGAAACAATCAAATATTTCCAGGAAAAACAATAAAAAAGGAAAAAGTGAAATCAATTTACCTTTCTCGATTTCGCCACAGCTGCTAGAGTAGCTTGAGCAAGCTTTCTTGCAGCTTCCGGACAATTAGCGTTACTTGCATTTAAAGCTTCATTAGCTGCTTTCAGAGCCGCTTCCTTGGCTGCTTGCTCCTACAGAAGTTGGATCATATAAAGCACATAACCCGAAGGAGAAAATAATTACTACATTTTCAGACCTGTCTTACCAAATGATGCGGACGAGAAATAAAGATGGCCAAGAAACAAAAGACAACCAGTTGATTCAGGCAACATACTATAAAACTAGGAAGTGAATCCAAGATAAACAAATGATATCTGTCACCTCAAGATACTCTCGGTTCATTTCTTCCCATATAATCTTCTTATAGTGTTTTTCCTCTTCATTGTGAATGTAGCCATCCACCTGGGCAGCAATGATATTTTGACCAACAGTCAGATATGACAAGTTAAACTACAATTAAGAAAAAATTGCATTTCGATCAGAGAAAAATTGTTTAGAACTTTTCACTTCGATTTCCCTGGCACAGATGATGGAGAATTACTAGACCGAGGAAACCAATGTAAGGGAAAAATATACTTTTCTGTCACACCACAGGTCTTCTTTTTTTTTTTGTGAATCTCACGTTTGAATGAGAAACGGAAAAAATTGCACACCTCATCATCATCAATGTCAGAGAAGTTCCCAGATTCATCCGAAACTTCAGCATTGCCATCAGTTCCTCCAGCTTTATCATCGCTTCTCTCATCTGCTTTCCCATGTCCTGAATTCCACGAAAAACCGGAGGCATATCAACATCAAGAGTTTTGAACACACAAATGTGAACTACAAAGGAAAATGAACGAGGCAGAATAAAATCAAGCTCACCAGAAAATTGATTTTTGCTTTTGCTCACACTGTCACAGCCAGGTCCTATCGGACACTGCATAATAGTTCAACACCAAAAGAAAAGAAACAACTTTAAGCACAAGAATCCATAAACAAATATATATAAATGCAGGTGTGGGCCGTTTGGCGAGTTAAAAATAAAGAATCTAAGCTGCAATCCTCAAAGTCACGAAAGAACTGACATAAGCATATTGCGTCAAATAAACACAATAAGAGACAACATTAAAACAAGAAACAATTTTCTGAAACAGAAAAAATACATATATGACAAAAGGTGCATAGATGTTGCACAGGTAAACAGAAAGCACAGAAGAATCACAAGCCGACAACATACATGTTGATCAAAGTTCGTACTGATAACTCCTCCCTCATTTTCTTCCCTTGCTGCTTTCTCCATTCTCTCTTGCTCCGCACGCTGGAAAGCAGGAGGGTTTGATCCTCCACAAAGTCCTCCAGATACAGTAATGAACTACACCAAAAATTCACCCAAAAGGACCAGCTTATTGTAAAATTATCAGAAAAACTGGTCAAACAATGGAGAACAGAGAACCTAACATGAGAAAAATCAGTCTCACATCGTTATAACAGCTTTCGCAAAGTCCATAACCAACAGGCTTACAATCCTGATGCATACAGAGCACCCCATCTATTTTGGATTCTGATTGATGCCTGACAAAAGATCTTTTATGCAATTCCCTCTCTCTTTCTGTGAGCTCGTCAACCTAGTCATACAAGTGGAAATCTTATTGGGAACAAGAAGAAATAAAATGGAAAAAGAAATTTAGAATGTGAGAAGCTGATAGCAGCACGTTGCTAGACTGGATACTCTCCATGTTAAAATGTTCAAAAAAATTGTGGGAACAAGATATTTTTCTGAAGATTTTGCATAATTTTATCATCCGGGGTGGATCTATAGCTAGCATTCATGCACACCTACTAGATTGTTTGGAGATGTACAAAATAGATTAAGGTCGCATTACAAAAGATATAAAACTTTCAAAGTGGACAATAAAACAAACTTTCCAAATTAAAATGGTTGCCAGCTTATGGCGCAACTTACCATCAAACAAATAAAACAGGTCAGAAGCTATGCCAGTATAATTGTATAATACTGTTCATGAATAACTCTATGGCTTTGAATGAGGATGGATTTTATTTTGGGTTTTTTGGTTTTAATTTTTGGATTTTGGTTTCTAGTTTTTGATTTTTGGTTTTGGATTCTATAATATTTAAAAACTTAAAAAAAAGTAGCTTCTGGTTTTTCAATGATTTTTTCGCTAAAATGACTTGAATGGTAGTTTTTTGGGTTTTTGGATTCTAAAAACATCAGAAACTCCAACCATTCAAGGCCTACATCTAAAATCACTATGTGCTAAATCATCCCTGATCAGGAGTAGAAAAGAAATAGCTTACAGTTAAATTTCCAGACTCTGTGTTTCCGAATTCAATCAATCGTTTGGTCAGTGTAGCTTCACATATGTGCACAACCTTGACCTGAAGCATTTAGAAGCCGCACATCTATATTAGTCAACATGAAACACCGAAGGCTCAATACCCAAGCAGAACAGACTTCTTATCATTGCAAAAATATTTCTCATATCACAGAACGTTAAAAATGATAAATAGATCATGAAAATTAAACAGCTTCCTACATAGCATAAGCCAGCTACAGCTTACAATATCTGTCTTGGAGCACTTGATACCATGGGAAAGAGCAGCTATATAAAGTGCTGCACCGCATATGCCACTAGGTTTCCTGCCCGTCTGCAACAGAATAATTGATATAATAACACTGACACACATAATAAACAACTATGCATATAAGTGATCCGTTGAGAAGAAAGTTGCACCTGTATCCAATCTCTCTTCATGCTAGCTATAATGTCTCTAGCTGTTTTCACGACCGCTTTATCATGTACTCCTTTCAGGAGACCTATAAGTTTATGATATGAGTAGATCGAGTCAAGTGATACTCATGAAACCTATGCCAGAATACATGAAGATTGAACGACACAATCCATAAAAGACCCAACATAAAACCTAGCACATGGAGATTACAAAAGAGCAATCAAAAGGTAGGCATAGAAAAAAAAGATTGACAAGCTTCTGAAAGGTAGCAAGGGGCATCAGCTGAAGGTCCAAATAAGTACAAGAAAAAGCCATTATATGCCATAGACAAAGCACTTGATACAACTATTTATTTTACCCCAGATGATCAGCAGATCTAAAAAAACATAGTGGTACCGTTTCCACAGAAATAATTGCATATTGCCCCTAGTTCAACCAAATATGAAGAAGATTAGGGAACTACAAGACAACATACTTACTATTTGTGAACCTAGGAATAAAAATGGAAGGGTCAACCAGCTTCTCGTAATTCCGATTTTCAGCAATGTATAGCATTTCACAAAGTTGTAAGTACACAGCACCAAGCTCATAACTGCACGAAGTAGATGAAAATAACCACATTATCAGGAATAGGGAAAAGCACTAGAGTAGATAAAACAGACACATGGAAAGGAAGGAATGGAAGGAAAGTAAAAAGAAAAAAAGAAATCATCTTACACGCTTATAGTAAGATAACTTGAAAAATCAATAAGAAGAAACGGGATATTCTTTTCCCTGCAGACCAAGAAAAAACACTGGTAAACATCAAGTAAAGGCCATAAATATTGCACAATAATATCATTTTGCAAAAATTGTAGGGTCGACAGTT